ATTTGCCTAATAAGCAAGTTTTTATGAATTAATTGTTTTTCGACTACCTAACCTACCTAACCTAACCTAACTTTTTCGGCTACTTACCCTAACCAAACCTGTAAAGATAGGTTAGGTTAGGTTAGGTAGGGTTGGTTAGGTTCGGTCATATATCTACGTTAATTTTAACTCCAATAAAAAAAAATTGGCCTCATACATAATGAAATGGGTAGTTTTATCATTTCATAAGAAAAAAATTAGAGAAAATATATTAATTTTGGAAAACTTGGCTTATTAGGCAAATCGGGCCTTGCATAGTAGGCTCAGAAGTGCGTTCTGGCTACTAGGTACGACATATATATATATATATATATATATATATGTATATATATATATATATATATATATATATATATATATATATATATATATATAAATAATGCTTCATTTGTGTGTAAGGGGTTAAATTCTAACAACTGTATTTTGTAGACTTATTATATTATATATTAATTTGATATATTTGTTTAGTTCATTCACTTGTCGGTTTAATCATTCACGTATGTGTAAGTTGTTAGACTTGAGAGTGGCGTGATGACACGTGGTGTGGGTATCGAACCCGCGGTGTCCTGCACGTGGCGTGTCTGGAGCCACTTACTACACACGTTTTTGGTAAAGGAGTCTCGTAAAGCTTCAGGACCTGATGTTTATAGTCGCGTGTTTTGCGGCTTGTGAGAATTTCCCTATACTTTCCGCTGGTGTTTTTAATTATATATATATATATTTATATTATATATATATATATATATATAGATATATAATATATTATATATATATATATAATTAATATATTTATATAGTTATATATTGTTATATATATTTGTACTTGCATGTTTCATTTAACATTTAATTTCACTTTTGGCTCTTTCGTTACACGAAATGTCGTTAATATGTTAGGGTCGTTGGCATCACGTGCAATTCTTTTTTTTTTTTTTTTTTTTTTTTTTTTGCTAATGTCTGAAGAGTACAAAATAGTTCTTTGGTTTTGCGTTTGAGCATATATTTTATTTCGAAAAATTAGTATTGTCTTGTGTGACTTAAATAGCGAGAATAAATATATTTGTGTAAAGTACTTTAGACCTATTGTTCTTAAGTCAAAGCTTGGTATATGGGACATAGAGCAGGGTACAGTGAAAGCTTGGTATATGGGACACATAGCAGGGTTCAGTCATAGCCTGCTATATGGGACACATAGCAGGGTTCAGTCAAAGCCTGCTATATGGAACATAGCAGGGTTCAGTCAAAGCCTGCTATATGGAACATAGCAGGGTTCAGTCAAAGCCTGCTATATGGAACATAGCAGGGTTCAGTCAAAGCCTGCTATATGGAACATAGCAGGGTTCAGTCAAAGCCTGCTATATGGAACATAGCAGGGTTCAGTCAAAGCCTGCTATATGGAACATAGCAGGGTTCAGTCAAAGCCTGCTATATGGAACATAGCAGGGTTCAGTCAAAGCCTGCTATATGGAACATAGCAGGGTTCAGTCAAAGCTGCTATATGGAACATAGCAGGGTTCAGTCAAAGCCTGCTATATGGAACATAGCAGGGTTCAGTCAAAGCCTGCTATATGGAACATAGCAGGGTTCAGTCAAAGCCTGCTATATGGAACATAGCAGGGTTCAGTCAAAGCCTGCTATATGGAACATAGCAGGGTACAGTCAAAGCTTGGTATATGGAACACAGCAGGGTACAGTTAAAACCTGCTATATGGGACATATAGCAGGGTACAGTCAAAGCTTGGTATATGGAACACAGCAGGATACAGTCAAAGCTTGGTATATGGGACACCTTAAAGAGAAAAGCTAAAAAGCCCAAAACAATAGCCCTTAAAAAGCGGGAGTTGACCGGTGTTTCTCTTCGGCAAAAACTGCTTAAATTTCGGTTCAAACCACGTTCAGGAGTTTGAGGCTCCATCACAGTTTGAAGCCCTGAATTGAAATGAAGTTTAACAAGCGTTTAGCTCTCAGCCGAGCGTAAATTACCTCTCTGAAAAATTCAAATTTCAATGGAGGATTTCTGAAGGTCGCGGCCATTTAATACATCTAAAGACTTTAGCAACTTTTAATAAATTTGGATTGTAGGACACACCTGGTAGAACACACCTGGTAGGACACACCTGGTAGAACACACCTGGTAGAACACACCTGGTAGGACACACCTGGTAGGACACACCTGGTAGGACACACCTGGTAGGACACACCTGGTAGGACACACCTGGTAGAACACACCTGGTAGAACACACCTGGTAGAACACACCTGGTAGGACCCGCCTGGTAGAACACACCTGGTAGGACCCGCCTGGTAGAACACACCTGGTAGGACCTGCCTGGTAGAACACACCTGGTAGGACACGCCTGGTAGGACACACCTGGTAGGACACACCTGGTAGGACACACCTGGTAGGACCCACCTGGTAGGACACACCTGGTAGGACGCACCTGGTAGGACCCGCCTGGTAGGACACACCTGGTAGGACACACCTGGTAGAACACGCCTGGTAGGACACGCCTGGTAGAACACACCTGGTAGGACACACCTGGTAGGACACACCTGGTAGGACATGTCTGGTAGGACACACCTGGTAGGACACATCTGGTAGGACCCGCCTGGTAGGACACACCTGGTAGGACCCGCCTGGTAGAACACACCTGGTAGGACCCGCCTGGTAGAACACACCTGGTAGGACACGCCTGGTAGAACACACCTGGTAGGACACACCTGGTAGGACACACCTGGTAGGACACACCTGGTAGGACACACCTGGTAGGACACACCTGGTAGGACACACCTGGTAAGACACGCCTGGTAGGACACACCTGGTAGGACCCGCCTGGTAGGACACACCTGGTAGGACACACCTGGTAGGACACACCTGGTAGGACACACCTGGTAGGACACACCTGGTAGGACGCGGGAAAACCTCAGTTAAATCACCTTGTTGTGGTAGTCACTAACAAGGCCCTTCACCGGCCTGCAGCTATAAGCTGCTCGTGACATAAAGTGTTAAAGGAAAACTATTGTTTATATTTACAATATAATTTTCTAGAGCGCGCGAAAAAATGTAAACATTGGTGGTCGTAGTATAGCACGTGTGTGTGTGTGTGTGTGTGTGTGTGTGTGTGTGTGTGTGTGTGTGTGGTGTGTGTGTGTGTACACTCACCTAGTTGTACTCACCTAGTTGTGTTTGCGGGGGTTGAGCTCTGGCTCTTTGGTCCCGCCTCTCAACCGTCAATCAACAGGTGTACAGATTCCTGAGCCTATTGGGCTCAATCATATCTCTATCTGTGTGTGTATGTGTGTGTGTGTATATGTGTGTGTGTGCGCGTGTTTCACCTAGTTGTTTTCACCTAGTTGTGTTTGCGGGGGTTGAGCTTTGCTCTTTCGGCCCGTCTCTCAACTGTCAATCAACTGTTTACAAACTACACTATTTTTTTTTCACACCACACACACACACCCCAGGAAGCAGCTCGTGACTGCTGACTAACTCCCAGGTATCTATTTACTGCTAGGTAACAGGGGCATTCAGGGTGAAAGAAACTTTGCCCATTTGTTTCTGCCTCGTGCGGGAATCGAACCCGCGCCACAGAATTACGAATCCTGCGCGCTATCCACCAGGCTACGAGGCCCCTGTGTGTGTGTGTGTGTGTGTGTGTGTGTGTGTGTGTGTGTGTGTGTGTGTGTGTGTGTGTGTGTAGTATATTAGGACAAATATAGCATATACTAGGGGCCTGGAATGGCTTATTTATACTTTTAACAGCTTAATGGTCTATTTGAGGTTATCTTGAGATGATTTCGGGGCTTAGCGTCCCCGCGGCCCGGTCCTCGACCAGGCCTACTTATTGTTACCCCCCCCCCCCCCAGGAAGCAGCCCGTAGCAGCTGTCTAACTCCCAGGTACCTATTTACTGCTAGGTAACAGGGTGGGTGAAAGAAACATTTTGCCCATTTGTCTCTGCCTCCACCGGGGATCGAACCCCGAACAATAGGACTACGAATCCGAAGCGCTGTCCACTCAGCTCTCAGGCGCCTATCCACAAGGACTACAATAGGACTACGAATCCGAAGCGCTGTCCACTCAGCTCTCAGGCGCCTATCCACAAGTCCGCTACCAAGTTATCTTCTCCTATCCCCCCCCCCCTCATATATTTGTAATGTGTGCGTGCGTGTGTATACTTCTTCATTTGTTGTATTATTATTCATCATAAATTACTATGTTGAAGGCCTTACTGTATGATACAATGCGTCATTGGTATTTTTGTTATTACTATTACGGTAATGTTATTAATAATGTTTTTGGTCTATGGGCGAATTCTTTACCATTGATAAGGCCTGATCGACGACCGGGCCGCGGGGACGCGAAGCCCCGGAAACACTTTAAGGTAACATCGCTTTGTTACTCCTCTATAGTAAAGTGGAAGTGTTGAGCTCCAGCTCTTGTTGAAGGGTCTACTCATGGTGTGGCACTTGGTATTCAATAAGGGTGTGACTCTGGTATTATGTGGCTCTGGCCATTTATGGTGGGTGTGGCCCTGCCCATACATGATGGGTGTGGCACTGGCCATTCATGCAGGGTGTGGCCCTGGCCATTTATGGTGTGGCCCTGGCCATTTATGGTGTGGCACTGGCCATTCATGGTGTGGCACTGGCCATTCATGGTGTGGCACTGGCCATTCATGGTGTGGCCCTGGTCATTCATGGTGTGGCACTGGCCATTCATGGTGTGGCACTGGCCATTCATGGTGTGGCTCTGGCCATTCATGAAGGGTGTGGCACTGGCCATTTATGAAGGGTGTGGTACTGGCCATTCATGGTGTGGCCCTGGTCATTCATGGTGTGGCACTGGCCATTCATGGTGTGGCACTGGCCATTCATGGTGTGGCTCTGGCCATTCATGAAGGGTGTGGCACTGGCCATTTATGAAGGGTGTGGCACTGGCCATTCATGATGGGTGTGGCACTGGCCATTTATGAAGGGTGTGGCACTGGCCATTCATGATGGGTGTGGCACTGGCCATTCATGGTGTGGCCCTGGCCATACATGGTGTGGCCCTGGCCATACATGGTGTGGCCCTGGCCATACATGGTGTGGCCCTGGCCGTACATGGTGTGGCCCTGGCCGTACATGGTGTGGCCCTGGCCGTACATGGTGTGGCCCTGGCCGTACATGGTGTGGCCCTGGCCGTACATGGTGTGGCCCTGGCCGTACATGGTGTGGCCCTGGCCGTACATGGTGTGGCCCTGGCCGTACATGGTGTGGCCCTGGCCGTACATGGTGTGGCCCTGGCCGTACATGGTGTGGCCCTGGCCGTACATGGTGTGGCCCTGGCCATACATGGTGTGGCCCTGGCCGTACATGGTGTGGCCCTGGCCGTACATGGTGTGGCCCTGGCCATACATGGTGTGGCCCTGGCCACTCAAGACCACGGAACAAACTTCAGTACACGTAAGATGTCTCTGTCATCTTTCAAACTCTTGTTATAGATTATTTTGTAAATTCTTTTAACTCGATGAAAATGTAAAAAAGAGGAGACAGCTTCGCCTCGCCAATATTAGTTGTTTACTGCATTTACCTGCAAACTAATTTAATTTACTAATGAACAGGTGAACAGTTTTATTTCAGAGTTCTTTATTTAATGACTAACATTGCTTGCAATTCCAATACAATAAACTATGTTTGATTATCAGAACATTGGCCAAAGTATTATATTTTTGCAATAGATAGCAATTGGCTACTTAAATTATCTAAGGATGCTTAGATAATGGACACTAACTGCTGTTAAATAATTTATCGGAATAATTCCGTCACACCATTCCCTGTTATTGCGTATAACATACCGGTATTTAGTGTGTTATTGCTAATTATTCTATCAGTATGTTCTCGGGGGTGTTTGGACAGCATTGACTTTATCTCCGTTTAAAGATTCTCTTGTGTCCACACGGGAGATTGTGCCTTCAGGCAATGCTAAAGATGTTGCTCCTGTTAATGCTTAGGATATAACCTGCTCATGTTAATGCTTAGGATATAGCCTCCTCCTGTTAATGCGTAGGATATAGCCTCCTCCTGTTAATGGTTAGGATCTAACCTCCTCCTGTTAATGCTTAGGATATAACCTCCTTTCCACGCTGAAGCGACTGCTTCCATTATGCAAAGTTTTTCTAAGTAGCAATGTATATTTTTTTATAAAATTTGACCATATTCTAGGGGAGGCATGTTAGGTAATATTCAGGGGCACTGTATATTGTATTATTCATAAACAAACAGTATTAATATTCGGTATTTCCTTCATGTTAATCTATACAATGAAGCCTCGTGTAATATTATCGATTGTGAAGTAATAGTTTATTATCCAGCGTCGAAGATAATGTCAATAATCGCCTCGTATATCTAATATCTTGTTACATGTGTTACACTTAATTCCTGGAGTACGTATTGTAATACTAAGCTACCTGGCGTCATGCTATTTAATACTCGCACTCTCCACGATATTTTATACGACTGAGGCTCATGCAATATTAATCTGAGTGCTCCATATTGTGTTATCTTGGGGAATTCTATAGCCCTCTACAGGGTTATATTAGGCTATATTGCACTATCTCCAGGAGTCATATTAGGCTATATTGCACTCTCTCCAGGGTCATATTTGGCTATATTGCTCTCTCGACAGACATGATATGTTGTACTCTTCTGGGACATATTAGGCTATATTGTACTCTACAGGGGACACATTCGGCTATATTGTACTGTACAGGGGACACATTCAGCTATATTGTACGCCACAGGGAACACATTCGACTATATTGTACTCTACAGAGGACACATTCGGCTATATTGTACTCTACAGAGGACACATTCGGTTATATTGTACTCTACAGGTGACACATTCGGCTATATTGTACTCTACAGAGGACACATTCGGCTATATTGTACTCAACAGGGCACACATTCGGCTATATTGTACTCTACAGGGCACACTTTCGGCTATATTGTACTCTACAGGGCACACATTCGGCTATATTGTACTCTACAGGAGAGACACGCGGCTATAGTGTACTCCACAGGGCACACATTCGGCTATATTGTACTCTACAGGGCACACATTCGGCTATATTGCATACTTCAGGGATATATTACGCCATATTACACTATCCAGCAGTACATTAGGCTATAATGCACTCTCTAAGATCACATAAATCTGAATTGCACTCTCCAGGTCACGTCATACAATATTAGGCCTATGCCAGGTCCCGTCATATCATACTATCCTAGTTATCATGTAATGTCTAGAGTCACGTAATTCATTATCCAGGATTACGTTATCCTATTGAGAGAAGTCACACAATATTACCCCGAGTTATGTCACTATCAAAGGTCACATATACTACGTTACACATCATAGTATCGAACTATGTAATTGAATATCACGTCATATTGTGAGATCAAAATAAATGATTCCTTGTAGCGTAAAATCCTATTATCCAATGGTACATAAATAATAATATCCAATGGGGCGTAAATATTATCCAAGGTCATTTAAAACCACACTATTCAAGGTGATGTTCTCTCATACAATTCAGAGTTGTATCTACCCAAAGTTACGTCATACTGTATTATCCAAGGTTACGTCATACTGTATTATCCAAGGTTACGTCAGACTGTATTATCCAAGGTTACGTCATACTGTATTATCCAAGGTTACGTCATACTGTATTATCCAATGTTACGTCATACTGTATTATCCAAGGTTACGTCATACTGTAAGGTCACTTGTTATACAATCCAAGGTCACTTGTTACACAATCCAAGGTCACATGTCACACAATCCCAAGGTCACATGTCACACAATCCCAAGGTCACATGTCACAATCCCAAGGTCACATGTCACACAATTCCAAGGTCACATGTCACACAATCCAAGATCACAACATGAAATACAATCTAAAATCACACCATACAATCAAGATACTGTCAGTCCAGACACTCTGAGGTCACGTCATGAACTATCCAAGGTCAAGTCACATAATACTATCCAGAATAGATTCGTTATCGTACTATCCAATGTTACATATAAATTATGTGCATTCGACGATATGGTAATCATTAATTTTCTTTATTATCCAGAGAAATATTCCATGATTTTTTTTTTGTTATGACAAGTAGCCTCTCGCTCACCAATTATGCTCTGTATGTTTACATTATTATTCTGCAGCCCTTGTAAACAAAAATAAATATATGACTTAAGTTTTTATCTTTAAATTTTGTATAGGCATAAGGAGCCTTTACTTGAGTAGTTATGTTCATTTTTATTTCTGTTTGTGCTTCAAAGCACAGCTGAAGCGCCGAGCTCTCTCATAGGCACTAATTAATTTCTTTAGACAAATTTTTGTCTGAAATATTGAATAAGTTATCCATTACAGGTGAGAGATTTTGTTTTTGTTTTTTTCTTAAAATTCTCGGCTACCCAGGCAGCCCAAAATGAAATGGAAACAAAGGAGTATTGCCCATTGCATTTTATTTACACATGAACTTATGTACAGTATCTTACAAAAGAAAAATTATCCTGTATAAAAAAAATATTTACATGTTAAATAAGCTGTATATGACTTTGGTATTATCACAGATCAAGTGGGCAAACTCTCGTGATACAAAACAGTTAGCAGTACATTGGATGTCACTCCTCAATCAACATCTTAGAAATGGACGTAACACTGATTTAGCTAGAAGCGCTTGATGTAAATGTTCGCTTTTGTTTACATTAGGCAATGACCATGTCAGAGGTGATGGGGTGGGGGGGGGTGTGAGAGGTCGGGTCACAGGTGGGCCTTGACCATGAGGGGGAAATTATATAACATATAGAAAACTGGTGGATGTGCAGAATGTGAAAGTCGAAAGAGGTTGAAGCCAATACAGTGAACAGCATGACAATGGTTACATCATCTCATGTAAATGAAAATTGAATAGCTTATGTAATAAAATACTGTCTCTCTCTGTATGAGGTGAACGAGAAAGTTTCCCAGGGAGTCCAAAGCACATAGAAAACATTGTTCACAGAGCGCCGTACTTGGGTAAACAAGTGACTGCATGCCTCAATGACCACCACACCCATAGAGCACAACAGATATGCATAAAAAATTGCATTTTTTTCAGTTAAAGTGACAATAACACAATACTGAGGCCAAGTATGTTGTATAAATTCGTTTTTTTTCCCCGAGCACACTTAAAAAAGAAGCATTTAACAGTAGATATTTGCCATAAAAAATGCAGACATTGTTTGTTCGTTGTATATAATAAATATAATTGAAAGGGGTAAGGAATAGAGCCTAGCCATTTCTTAGATTTCATACACAATATATATGACTAGATGTTATATGACAATTGCTGGAGATAAATAGAATATACAAAGCCCCGCAATGTTAAGACTGGTTCTCCCTTTCACACACAACTCTGCTAGGCTTATCCATATTTTTTGTATCATTTTCCGAGCAAGCTTAACAGGCAAGCTTTTTTTTATGAACCTTTTTCACAGATAGGATTCGATCACTTTAGTTCACATCACTTTGTTTTAAAGCTATATATATATATATCCTCGCACATACAGTTCAACACAGCCAGTTGGCACACATTTAAGAGCTCTGCTTTAGACTATAAAACACTCGCTCTGAGCTCTGCTGTTCATGGCACTTACAAACAGAGCTCTGATGCATATAACTTTTACACTGAGCCCTGCTATGTACTCAAGAGCTCCACTGTGTATAATTGTACAAACAAACAATGCCCTGTTGTAAATTACAAACAGAGCTCTGCTGCGCATTTACAAGCAGAGCCCTTCACTACCCTACGCCCAATACGCATCGGATCCCCCGTGAAGATTTTGATGCATGGACGCTGGGCTGTTGACACTGTACTTATTAGTGGACGAGGAGGACCTCTCGGGGATGGAACTATAGGTGTGAACGACCCGTTGGCTGGTCTGCACATCGGGCATTGCAAATCTAAGCTTGTCCCAAAACAGTTTATCACTGGCGTGAATGCAAGTGTTGGTTTTGAGATAGAGGCGGAGATCCGGATCCAGGTCTCGCGCCGGGATCTCTCCCAAGACGATGACGATGAGGCGTTGTCTTCGCTTCTTAAAAACTTCGTGATGTGCGCTTTTGAACTGGAATCTACACCATTCGTTCTCTATGAAGTTTTTGGAGAGGACGATGATGGTGCGTCGAGAGGACTCAACCGCTTCTACTATCGTGTCAGCGATGTAGGCGGTGACGGGGAAGTCTCGGTAGTGAAGACAGACCCGGTAGGGCCTCTCTCCTCTTTCCAGCTCCCCGGCCAAGACCTGGTTCACCCAGCCCTCGTCCTTGGAGCTGTACGACACGAAGGCATCGAACAATTTGTCGCGGTCGTCGGAGTTGGTGGCTTTATGGCACATCCTGAAACCACACTGAGAGTAAATCCAAACACGTATAGTGCTGCGGTAGAGGACACAGAGCACCACGAGTACCACCACGACGAAGGCGACGCACGTGGCTATCACAGGGTGCAACAAGTTGTCCAGAACAATAGGTTGAATGACGGTTGATGAATTGGTGGTGTTCATGCAGGTGGTGGCGTTGAAGTCCATGATGTAGGAGCCAGGCTCTTCCTCAGACTCGTCGGTGTAGCACTTTATATCTCTACCATCAGAGACTTTCCGCTCGTTCCCAGTGAGCCAGATGCCAAATGATTCGACGAATTGGCACTGGCATGACCACTGGTTGGCACTGAGGGAAACACGGCCTAGGTATGGGTTGTCCACCAATCGCCACACGGGGAAATTAATCAGCTGATTGTTGTGAAGTGTCAGAATCTCTAGGTGTGAGAGAGTTGCAAAGGTGTGCTGGTGGACGTATCTTAGATGGTTGTTGTGGAGGTATAACTCCCGCACTCCTTGAAGGCCTTGGAACTCATTCCCTCTCAGTGCCTCCAAGAGATTGTCTTGCAGATGCAGCGCCGTCAGTCGCGTTAGCCCACTGAAGGTTCCATTATCGAGGGTTTTAACATTAGAGGCATTCACATACAAAATTTGAAGATGCTTACGGCCGATGAATGCATGGGAGGAGAGGTTCCTAAGATCGTTACCATCAAGGTAAACCTGAGTGGCGTCCATTGGGATGCGTTCCGGCACTTGTTGCACATCCTGTAGTGAACAGTCCACAATGTTGGATCTCCACGACTGGTCGTGGTAACACCCACAGCCGTCAGGACACGTCATCTCACAGTCACAGGCATCAAATTCACAACACTGACAGAGAGCGAAACAATGCGTCTCGTACTGGCAGAGGAACTGTGATGGGTTGACCTCCACCAGAGCTATGAAGGCTCCTGTGCGTGCAAAGGGCATCTGACAATAGATGCTCTCCAGGTCCATGATGCGAGGGTTTTGTCGTTCATGATCCAAGCTGTTGATCCTCTGTAGCCACTCCATCTTGCAGTCGCAGACGAAGGGGTTGCCGCCCAAGTAGAACTCGGGTAGAGACTTGTTGGCCGGAAGCTCCGAAAGCCTCAGTGCCGACATGTCCATCTTTGACAACTGATTTGCGAATAAGTCAACACGAGTCAAGTTCGCTTTCTTAAAGAAAGTGAAAGGTTCCACCACAGATAATCTGTTATCATTCAAAAATAATAGTTGCACACTATCGGGAATTTGGATGCTATTTATATATTGTAATTTATTAAAACTTGCATCGAGAGTTTGCAAACTTAAATCGTGACGTTCAAGGTAATTTCCAAGTTCACTTATTTTGTTTTTATGTAGATCTAACCACTGAAGACTCACAGGTATAAAATGATAATCGAACATTTCAATTTGATTATCAGACACATTTAACCACACTAAATTTGGAAGGTTTTCAAATAAATTACTAATACTTGTTATCATATTTGCATCTAATCGAACTGCTTGTAAGTTAAGATTATTATCAAAGGTACCACTTTCTATATATGTTATAGAATTTTTTGCTAAATTTAGTATTTTAAGGGATGGAATATCACTGAACGTGTCTTTAGAAATATTACCACTGATCTTGTTGTTGACGAGCCTCAGCCCGTAAAGGAATTGGAGTCCCTTGACAGGCATGTGTTCCAGGGAGGTGATCTGGTTTTCCCCAAGATCCAACGTCTTGAGGTAGCGCAGATAACCAACGTCTGCTGGAATGACCGTCAACTGATTACCATTAAGGTTAAGGTCTTCCAGACTCGTGAGGTTACTGAGCGAGGCGACACCCACATTACTTATCTGGTTGTTGTCCAGCGCCAAGAAACTCAAGACGTTCACTCCCTGGAATGCTCGATCTGGAATACTTGTTAATTGATTGTAGGATAAATCTAGCGTGTGAAGATTGACACACGCTGCAAATGCTGCTGCTGGAATGGTCTGGAGCTGATTGTGGGAGAGTCTCAAAACCTGGACGTTGTAGAGATCACGGAAGACCTGTTGGTTTAGTTGAGAGATCTTGTTATATGACAGGTCCAGCAACATAAGGCGGATTAATCCTTGGAAGATGGAGGAAGTGAGCCACTCAGATTTCAACTCGTTATGAGAGAGATCGAGTTCAACGAGGTGCTCCAAGCCTCGGAAGAGCCCCGGTGCCAGCACAGAGAGGGAGTTGTTCTTGGCCCGGCAGTACATGAGGCCCGGGGTGTGGAGAAACGCATCCTCAGGCAGCGCCACCAGTCTGTTATCAGAGATATCCAAGGTGCGTAGACTGATCAGACCCTGGAAGGCGTTATCATCCACCTTCCCCAGTTCGTTATGTTGTAGGAAGAGGTGCTGGAGGCGACCCAGGCCCTGGAGTGAGCCCGACACCAACACCGTGACGTCGTTATTTGACAGGTCTAGAGAACTGACGTCGGAGCGACATGTAGGTAAGCCTCTGTCCGCTCCACCCTCACCGAACCCCAGTTGCGTGATGTCCTGCAAGTGGTTGTGACTTAGATTGAGCAGTTTGAGGTTGGCGAGGTGACAGAAGGCCCCAGCAGGTAGTTCCCAGATATTGTTGGTGCTGAGGTCCAAACGTTCCAGCTGCTGCAAAGGACGGAACACATCTGGCTTTGTCGTAAGACTCATCACTGGCCAGTCAGAGTTTCTAGTCCGTAGTGTCAAGTTTCTTAAATTTCTGAGGTTTATAAATGCATTATCCTCGAGGTCACTAATCTTGCAAAACTCCACGTTGAGTTCTCTGACGCGCACAAAGCCCGATAAGCTAAAGGGCGACAACGCACTTTCGAAGTAGTAAACTTCGCTACACCGAAGCGATAGACGCACAACACTGTCCACTGGGATGGCGCTCAAATTGGCCACTCTCATGTCCTCGTCAAGTGTCTTGAGTGAGCATGTGAGTGCTCTCTCTCGGGAACTGAGCGCCTGGCTCTCGCACTCTGCGCCACTGCTATATCGCACTGCCAAGGCATCGCAGCACCACACCAGCACAACGACTTGCCATACCGTGAACAGCAGCACCCTGCCATCCCGAAAAGTCGCACTCCACATTTTGATTGGCAAAATTATTTCACTGTTAGTGGAAATGCCATGAGAGACATTCCTGTAGACAGGAGGGAATTTGTTAAAGTCTTTAGCTTGACTCGGACCAACATTACCGCACTGTTGAGAGGCGGAGGAGCGTCATGGTCCGACCCTCCCACTGGCTCGACTGATACTGCCTTCCCCGCGCGGGTGTCTGGTCCTTGTGTCGGCTGTGACCGCCTCGCGGGAAGAGTGATCGTACGCCTGGCATGCTTCATTCTCCCCCATATAATCTTTTTTACTATAATTATTGCTTCGTAAAGAAACCTTCTATAACATGTGAGGCCTTTTCTACCCATAGTCAACACACTTTATAATAATATCTTACAAATAAAGATGATTTTATAACAACTTTATGATTTTCCAACAATAAAACAGTTTCAAAGCTAAAGAATTTTTCCTTCATGAAAGGATAGTATAAAGGCGTCTTCATTGCTTTAATATTTTTAAGAAACAATTTTTATAAAGCTAAGCCTAGCGACGTCTCATGTAATTCGACTGATTTGGTAATAGAAGACTATGGGACAACCCCCGAGTATGACAACATTTGCTATCACAACATTGAAAGATGTTTATACAATATACTAAATGTTTGCATGAAATATACATATTATTTTCTGGTCATCAGAGCTGCAGAGTTCTCTGAAACCTTGCTGTCGCTCAAAAGGTGAACCTCACACAAATGAGCATTCATTCAGCTAGCCAGGAGCCTGGCCAATGTGAGCCGCTATCAGTTTATATTCCTTTTAGTTGAATAAGAAAACGTGTAACGTTCTACGTTAAAATGCATCTTTTCTTGTAAGAAGGCAGCGTTAAGCAACACGTGTGGCTCACAAACTGGACTCACACGCCTCTCTGAATCTCTTTTAGTTCATTCTTTAAGTCCCTAATTGTATCAGGTTTCGAACGCTGCGGGAGTATTGGGGGTGAAGATGGGAGGGGGGATATTGTGGGAGGGGTCGTGTGTTTGTCGGGGCTTGGGGGGTCGGGGTGGGTTGGTTGGGGAGTCGCTGTGACGGGCAGAGGTGGGACCGTGGGAGGGGGAGAGGGGGAAGGAACAGGGGTGGAAAAGGGAGGGGGGGCTGGGGTGGTACGGAGGGAAGGGGGGGGGGGGATTCACCCCCACAGTTAATCCCTCTATTGTGATGTCTGGGGGAAGGGACGGGCATATAGTGACTACCGAAGTGTGCGTTGTTTGTTTGCGTTTCTCTGACGTCTCTTAGAAACCAAAAAATGTTTTGGTATATGTTAGGTTCTTCCCCTCCCTCCCCATCCCTCCCCATCCCTCCCCATCCCTCCCCATCCCTCCCTGCTCGTTCAAGCTATTTCCACCTTCTCTATAGCTGTATCGACACCATCTTATTTCGCTGTAATTGTACTAGCTCTCTTATCCTTGCAAGTGTACCAACTTCCTCCCTCCTTCCCTATTGTTGCATCGACTCCCTCCTTCTGCTGTAGCTGCACCGACCTCCTTCATCCCTCCCTATAGCTGTTCCGACTGCTCCCTCGTCCTCTGTCCCCCCAATAATACAGAGCAAACCTCACTCACCTTCGGCCTTCCCTCCTTAGGCGTCACTTGACCCGCTCCCACATCGCGTTAATATAGTGGGCACGCCGTCAAAACATGAGAAATGCAGTTGGAATTCGTAGCATACTTGCATATATTGGCTATGCCTCAGCAGTCTTCAATACGGCTGTGAGATCCGTAGGCGACCTGTGCGAGAGGGTTTTTGCATTCGTCCTGCTAGTTTTCGACCCTCCCTCGACCGACCCTTTCTCTCGGTCTCTGCCCCCCCCCGCCCCCCTCTCTCTCCCTATCTCTCTTTTATCTCTCCCTCCCCGCTCCGATGGCCACCCTTCCCCTATCTCACCGTATCTCATCTGCCCAATAGGATCTGTAGCATTACCGTAGGGCAGTAATTTCCCAGTAGATGACCTCGACGTTGGCCATAAGGCCTTCCTTATCAGGCCTCCAGTTTATCCCTAACTAAATATTTCACTATTAAAAGTCAATATGCTATATAACGACTGTTTATATAGTTATTATCTATATTGATTATAGATTACCGTGGACAATTACAGATATATATATATATATATATATATATATATATATATATATATATATATACTCAAAAGATTATATATTATTATTCATGAATATGGAGGATATAGGTCCTCACTACAACAGCTGAAAATAATCAACATTCTCATTTTAAATATTATTGAAATATATTATAAATTATAAATGATTACACACAGAGTCAATACAGATAGTTTAAAAGCTATGAATAATACACAATATAAATGGCGTAATTATTGCTAACAATTGTTGCTAATGATTATATATTATTATTTCCGTAATATAATAGTATAGATAACGATAAAAAATAATAATAAATAGTTAATTAAAAAATATATTTGAATATATTAAAACCATTTCAATTGAATTAATATCACAGTAGTTTAATTCTCAGAGGAATACGAGTCGTAAACTTATTATATACGACTCGTATATAGTATACTATATATTTATACAGTATAGTCGTATACTTACAGTACAGTATAGTCGTATACTTACAGTACAGTATACTCGTATACCCACGGTTCAGTATAACCATTCACAAACTAATTATTTGTCATAATTTATCATCCCTAATTTTGAACTTGCATATGTAATCAAATGAGAATAATCCAGACCTCTGCACTCATTAATGGGAACCTCGTTAATAATCCAGACCTCTACACTCATTAATGGGAACCTCGTTAATAATCCACGGTTAACGAGACAATGGGTACATAGTTTTTCTTTATTTTCACGCGTATTTGTTTATTTTTATTTGTTTATTTATATTTTGTAGTTGTTTTATTAATTATGTTTGTTATGTAGCAACTATTCAATCACTGTATCCTGTTTTTTTGTATATTTATTAAATACAAATTATTTGTATTATTATAATTCTAATGTAATTAAACCAAGTATTTATGAAATTGTCAACAATCATGTATTAATCTTGTGTGATTTGGCAGATTTGGAATTTACATTAGTTTTTTACAATTTTAATTCAATTGTAAAATTATATTTGCAATATAGAGACGAATGAGGTTTAGTATTTAAATGAAATATTAAGTTACTGAATGTTTTTAAGCTGCTTCTGGGGTTTTAATTAATTTTAACAAATTCCATTAATTCAATGATTTTCTATTTATGATTAAGACAATTGTTCGCAAGATGAGCATGCTAGAGGAGCAAACCTTGGACCAGATTCACGAAACAGTTACGCAAGCACTTACGAACGTGTACATCTTTCCTCAATCTTTGACGGCTTTGGTTCCATTTATTAAACAGTTTACAAGCATGAAAGCTTCCCAATCAACTGTTGTTATTGTTATAAACAGCCTCCTGGTGCTTCGGAGCGCATTAACTGTTTAATAATTGTAAACAAAGTCGACAAAGATTGAGAAAAGATGTACAGGTTCGTAAGCGCTTGCGTAACTGCTTCGTGAATCTGGCCCCAGAAGGGTTGTGAAGGGTTGTGAAGGGTTGTGAAGGGTTGTGAAGGGTTGTGAAGTGTTGTGAAGTGTTGTGAAGTGTTGTGAAGTGTTGTGAAGTGTTGTGAAGTGTTGTGAAGTGTTGTGAAGGGTTGTGAAGTGTTGTGAAGGGTTGTGAAGGGTTGTGAAGGGTTGTGAAGTGTTGTGAAGTGTTGTGAAGGGTTGTGAAGGGTGGGGGTGCCAGCTACATGGCTGCTGTATTGTCACCATCATTAAACACGCTGAGGATCATTCAGTTGTACAAAATATACATCAGACTCGGCGCTCAGGCTGAAATAGGTGCGAGGATATGTGTTGAATTAGGTTGAAAATGTGGTGTGTTGAAATGCAGAAATAGGTCTCAAAATGGGTTACCATTAAAATGCAGCAATGCGAGTAAATATGTGCAGTAATTGGGTGCAGAAGGTGTAGGAAAAATTGCAGAGCTTAAAGCAGTTTTACATTTCTAAAAAGGAAACTGATGGTTTGGTTCTAAATTTATAAATAGTTAAAGCATAGCCTAATTCACATTAAGGTCGTAAATACTCTATATAATAGAAGTAAGTTGAGGGAGACGTATATCATCAGATAGTCAACCCCCCATGATCACTTTCTTCACCTTCAATGTTCGTCTACTCTTGGTTGTTGATGTCTTAGTCCTGTCAAGATCTGTTGTTTTCCTTGGGTTTGGTGCTGTCAAGATCACTATCTTTTTCCCCAATCCACTGTTAGAGTTCCGCTGATGTTAGCGGAACTCTTTGTACATTGGTCTTGTACGTGTGTATTGTATGTGTGAGATATGTGAGTGAAAGAAACAGATAGATACAGATCAGCAATAATCGTACACTTGAGTGCAGAAAACTAATTTGTGTGTGTGGGTTGTGGTAGCTGTGTTTAACTAATTTACCGAGACATCGCCGCGCAGGTCTGGTGTTATTTGTTATTATTATTATTAACATCTTTATTGACAAAATTAATTACAATTTTGCCTTAATCTGAGGATTTTGATAGTCTTATTAATTGAGGTTAATGCTAGTATTCCCTGTCAACGCAGGACAGAGGGTCATACATAAGACATAGGCCTAAACTGTAGGCTGAAGCACATATTATCTGGTTTACATCAATGTTTTAATGTGGGATATGTGAAAACAACTTTCCTATTGGCACTGCCACACAAGGGCAGGGATGGGTTCATAAGTGATACAGCTTAGAATATAAGTAAAATTGTTCTCATTCTTTAAAATGGACAAGCCAATTTTGGGTAAATGTTAGGTGTCGTCCCAGAACACCTGAGTCAATAACATGTTACACAGTTGGTGGTACAATAGGCCATGAGTCTAAATCCTTACGGTTTCACTTCATCAATTTTTAATTTAGTCTTCTAGTGATGCATTAAAGGTTTATCAATGTTCGTCTGACTCTTCTGGTTGTGGATGTCTCAGTCCTGTCAAGATCTGTTGTTTTCCTTGGGTTTACTGGTGCTGTCAATACCTATTATTACAGAACTCACTTTTAATCTTTTTCCCTGTGCAATTCCTCAATCTGAATTAATTCTTTAATTTTATGTTCCGCTGATGTTGATAGCGGAACTCATAATTGTACATTCCTGGTCTTGTACG